CACGAAGCACGTGAACTCGAGAACAAAAATGTGTCTCCGGTTCACATTAATCTTGTTAAGTTCGAGTCAAACTTTGATATCAGGTTAATTACTCGATATAAGAGTAATTATCGTGTAACCGTTATACGTATCTGAGCTCTCATTTGAATGTTATTCACTTCATTCCTTTTCTAGAATATCAAGTCATAAGAAATGAATATTAGAGTTATCAGAATTATAAATTGAAATAAAAAGATTCGATATAAGTGAGTCTCTGGTGTCTAAAATTTCGCTTATATTGTTTAGGTTCTACAGTGATTAATGTTTTGCTGAAAGTAAAAAAGGACAGCAAGAAAATGAGGAAATAACACATCCGCTACTTGCTTATATAATATAGATCATTTTCGCTTATATCGAATCTTTACTGCATTCTTATTATTGCTACAAATTTAAGATTTTGAAAATTTTTAAATTTGGAAATGAAAAATGAGAAGTTTTAATTAATTTAGAAATCTAAAAATTTGAGAATTACAATTTTTTGAGTCTGTAAATTACAAAATAGGAAATTTAGAAATTTGGAAATTTGAATATTTTTTAATTTAGGAATTTGAAAATTTGAGAATTAAAATATTCGAAATTTAAGAATTTAAAAATTTAAAAATATATTTACACTTTTTAAAATGCACTCGTATTGAATTCAGAAGAGTTCCAATTTAATAAAAAAACTTTAACTGCAAAAAGTTGCAACCAATATTTGTCGCTAATCACAGAGTAAACTTTTATTGCCAAGAGCACGGCCATGGGCACAAAAATAAAGGCCACATTTTCCTTAGTAATAGGTTCTAAAGTAATAATGAAGAGAAAGAATGTTAATTTGTCAGGTATATAACAACTCTAGAGAGCAAATTATAGAGAATATAATTGGATCATATACATTTGTAGTTTTTATACGATTTAAGGTAGAAAACAAATTCCCAGGGAAGCACTATCTATGAAATTAATTTAATAGACAGAAGGAACTTCATCCTGCATAGAAATGATGAGAACGGCGCATGTGAATTGTCTATGGTGAAAAAAGGGAAGTAAACGGGTAAGGAGGAAAAGAGAAAAGAGAGGAAGGGGCCCATCCGTTGAATTTATCCTCGTGGTTGTTGCACCGAACACACGTGCACGAAACCAATCGGTGAAAGCCATAAGATGTCACTAACTTGCGTGTGTATAAGCATGTGCGAACAAAGGGACACGTACACAGTTACGGATAATTTTTTTCTACACGACGTCCTCGGACTAACAGCATGACGAAAAATTACTACAGTCGAATCTCGATAACTTGGAAACCTACATAAGACTAAAATTTTGTTCGTTTATTCTTCCGCTGCGCGAACCTTTTAATATCAATTATTTCTCACGTCTTCAAATTTTACCTTGTTAGCTGAAATTTAAAACTAGATTTCTACAGGTTGAAGTTTATTTGTGAGTCAAAAGTATCAAAATTTTCACATTTTTATATTTTCAAATTTCCAATTTCTAAATTTCTAAAAACCTAGACTTCAAAATATACAAATTCCCAAATATCTAAATTTCCAAATTTTGAAACTTCAAGAGCATAAATTATTACAATTCTAGATTGCAAAAAATTATAAATTCCTAAATTCCTAAATTCCTAAATTCTTAAATTCCTAAATTCTTAAATTCTTAAATTCTTAAATTCTTAAATTCTTAAATTCCTAAATTCCTAAATTCCAAATTCTCAAATCTTCTAATTTGCAAGTCCCGAAATTCTCAAATTTCCAAATTTCAAATTTTCATAAGCTCAAAAGCCCAAACTCTCAAATCTTTAAATTTCTTTTTTTCTAATTTTCCAAATTCCCCAGTCTATCTAAATCTAAATCTAAATCCCCCAGTCTCTAAATTTTTAAATTCCTAAATTTCCACGTGACCATATTTAGAAGTTTGCAAATTTAAAATATACCAAATCCAGAATGTTAAATTTCCTTCCTTCCATCGCCATTTTCTCTAGAGACGCCTATGTGTTCCCTACACGGTGCAAAGGTAATATATGCAGCTATGCCCCTCACAGTATAAGTTGATCGTATATTTAAAACATATCATTTAAATAAATAATTTATTTCTACCTTTTAGCTTCACAACTCATTTAAATGTAATTATCGATTCAAAAAATATTGATTCATTCCAGACATACCTATATTGATGCTTTGACAAATGTCGATAAAACTGAAATATATCATCATCAATATGGTGGATATTCAGGGTTAATTATCGAGCATGCAATATTGCGTGAGCGAATATTTAACGTGAAAAATTAAGCAAACGATATCGCGTGATTTGATAGGTACCTTTGATAAGGAAATCGTATAGCAGAGATTTTGACACGTGGTAAAAAAACGTATGTATAAGTAAACGAACAAAAATAAAAATAGACGAAGTACAACATAACGGAAAACTTGATTTCTAACCTCAAATACAAGTTAGACGAAGTAACTTCGGAACGAGCTGGTGTGGATAATCGAGATGACGAAACGGCGACCGGTTTTCTCGAGCAAGAGGATATACTTTGAGAGTACATCCTCTCTGAAATTATCCGTCTCTCTCTTCCTCTTTCTGGGCGACGAGAAGCCAGGCAAAGTTGCATCTCGCTACCGATCGATCGAACGAACTCGAGCCAAAGAATATTTCCTACGAGCGGTGAATCGATACCGATCGATACGCACCGATGCTCCCCAGACATTTTTGGAGTCTCCTACGAATGTCGCTTGCCAAATGTCGCAAAATCATTTTGCCAACAACATAATAAGGATAATGTTACGTAACTAAATCATCCGTGTAACATACGTCCTTAATTTTGCATCTGAACAGATTTAACGTCGTCATTCATGCAGGAACGGTGTCATGTTGCTACATTGTACGTTAACCCTGCATAACCTACATTTTATGCGAGTTGCCTCTAAGATTGAGAACATGAGTTGGTGGTTGCATTTTTGCAGCAGAATATCGTGTGTGTAGTCGCCATGAAGTGAAACTTCTGCTTTAGTTGTAGATAGTTTAGAAATTTTGAAATTCAGAAGTTTGTGAATTTATGTATTCAAAGAGTGAAAAGCTTTTGAATATTATTTAGAAATTTGGGAATTCAAGAATTTAATAATTTAGAAATGTAGAAATTTGGAAATTAGAAGATTTACGTAATTAGCAATTTTGAGAATTTAAAATTTAAGATTTTAGAAATCTAGAGATTTAGAAATGTGGAAATTTGAAAATTTATCCTTTTGGGAATTTAGGAATTTATAAATGTAATGATCTGAGAGTATATGACTTGCAAATTTATAAATTTTAAAATTGAATATTCTCACTTACGAAACTCGATCAGCCATAACATTCCCACTTTAAATTCTGCTCACAAAAGTTTAAAAAGAAACATATAAAAATCCGCAAAGTAGAAAGATTAACCCTTTTAGTGCCGGGAGCCGATATATCGGCTCTTGCTGCACTGGCGAGAAGTGCCAGAGCCGATATATCGGCCCGCTCCTCGTAGCACCTTACTATTCGCATTGCGGGAGAACTCTATCTCAAAATAATTTTATAATACGTTATAAATGGTCTAATTTCATTACGAGAGAATTAAAAATAATAATGAAGTATTATGCAAAATTATAGCACAAACATATCTATGAAAACATAATTTTGTCAACCATGTATCTTCGACTTAATTTTTGTTTTTGTTATGTAATATTATTTATCTTGTCACAAAATATATCGGAAATGCAAAGTATATACTTTGTAATAAATAGTCTATATAAAATTATGATGAAAAGATGACTTTTTGTATGTGCATAATGAATATAGAAAAAACTAGTGTCAATGTTTTGTTCGCTATTTTGTCATCCTACTGCTTTTTGAATCATGTAAATATTATTATTGGTTTGGTTTTTATGAGCATTTTCCCCAACCCTAGTAAAACGGTGAAATTCAGCCGGTTATTGTCGCGTAGACACCTGTTTTTCGCCCGGTACTAAAAGGGTTAATACGTGTAATGCGTCACGCCAAATTTCGTTAGTCACTTCGAAGCATAACGTAGGGTTTAAATTTACTTGACATCTGGCCTCGCGACTAAACATTTTAACAAGCTCAAATCTTTCGAAGCACTTCACGCACGTGTTATGCGTGCTAAATGAACGTGACAATTCTGTTTCAACGTATGTACAATTCAACCGGCCGTTTTTTAAACTAGCCACTCCATGTCTAAAATGTATCCTTTTCTCGATTTCAGCAGGAAGTTGTAAAAGATGAATTCCAGCGAAAATGCTTAGAAATTACGTAAGTTAAACTTTCTCGATAAGAGTGGTCCAGAAATATATGGCGCGCTATTTAAATGTTGCAGTTTTCTTCATTTCTCACGGTTCTTTGTTAGCCACATAACGTTTCTTGGAAATAGATTCCACTATGGTGACAGAACGTTCTCTGAATGTTTGACATTAGAATTCTTGGTATGCGAAAATGGGGAATAAATGACTCACTTCCTTCACTTTGTTTCTTCAAATATGACGTCTGCTATGAACAAATAATTCAATTTATAATAAATTGCAAAGTTTAATAAAAATGTAGCTGATCATACCGGAGAATTTTTATCTGTTTTCTAAGTTAACCTGAATCGGAAAATGTTAATTTACAACGCTGATTCACGCAATTTAGGGTGGATTATAAATCATCCCTTTCATGATAGATAGTGTACGATATTGGGAATTCTTATCTCCTTTAGATAAGAGGGGAAAAACAAAAGTATGACGTCAAGATTGAGTCATTACTTACACAAAATGCGACCGATGAAAACTCTTAACCTAACTTAACAACTTGTTCGACTCTTTTAGTAATGAAAACTCTTAACCTAACCTAACAACTTGTTCGATCAAAATAGAGAAAAATTATTTTTATACAAAATTTCAAATTAGTAAATCCAGTTCGGTTACAAGCAAAAGGGGATGCTGTATAGTTACGTGTAATGCGTCACGCCAAATTTCGTTAGTCACTTCGAAGCATAACGTAGGGTTTAAATTTACTTGACATCTGGCCTCGCGACTAAACATTTTAACAAGCTCAAATCTTTCGAAGCACTTCACGCACGTGTTATGCGTGCTAAATGAACGTGACAATTCTGTTTCAACGTATGTACAATTCAACCGGCCGTTTTTTAAACTAGCCACTCCATGTCTAAAATGTATCCTTTTCTCGATTTCAGCAGGAAGTTGTAAAAGATGAATTCCAGCGAAAATGCTTAGAAATTACGTAAGTTAAACTTTCTCGATAAGAGTGGTCCAGAAATATATGGCGCGCTATTTAAATGTTGCAGTTTTCTTCATTTCTCACGGTTCTTTGTTAGCCACATAACGTTTCTTGGAAATAGATTCCACTATGGTGACAGAACGTTCTCTGAATGTTTGACATTAGAATTCTTGGTATGCGAAAATGGGGAATAAATGACTCACTTCCTTCACTTTGTTTCTTCAAATATGACGTCTGCTATGAACAAATAATTCAATTTATAATAAATTGCAAAGTTTAATAAAAATGTAGCTGATCATACCGGAGAATTTTTATCTGTTTTCTAAGTTAACCTGAATCGGAAAATGTTAATTTACAACGCTGATTCACGCAATTTAGGGTGGATTATAAATCATCCCTTTCATGATAGATAGTGTACGATATTGGGAATTCTTATCTCCTTTAGATAAGAGGGGAAAAACAAAAGTATGACGTCAAGATTGAGTCATTACTTACACAAAATGCGACCGATGAAAACTCTTAACCTAACTTAACAACTTGTTCGACTCTTTTAGTAATGAAAACTCTTAACCTAACCTAACAACTTGTTCGATCAAAATAGAGAAAAATTATTTTTATACAAAATTTCAAATTAGTAAATCCAGTTCGGTTACAAGCAAAAGGGGATGCTGTATAGTGAAAAGAAAATACAATTGTGGAAATCGTATAACACCGTAATCTCTTTCGCCGCGAGATAAGATAGTTCTTGGGTGTAGGAATATCACGTTCGTCTTAATCACTGTAAATAGTACACGTAAACAGAAATTTAAATAATCAAATGCTATCTGTTAAACTGTACTCTCAGTGTGACTAAATACGAACAACTGTTATAACCTGAAATATATTTTCGTGCATGAAATCATTACTTCAGTTTTCTTGCTATTTTCTAATCCACTAAGTCATCTTGTTTACAATATTATATATAGCATTACCTCAATTTCGAAGCAACCCCAATTAATTTTCTTCTTAAAGAATTACAACTATTGGTTTCTTAACGAAATACTAAATTTTCGATTGAAAGCGAAAAATTGTTATTCGTTTATGAAATGTTATTTTGGCGAATATTTATGAAAAGCGTAACTGTGCAAAGTGCTGTGGATATTTTCGGGAGAGATTAGGTTAAATCGATAATTTTTAATGTGTTAAATTTACTGGTCTGAGTAGTGAAGATTTTATAATTATCGACATAACCTCAACGAAATTAGTCAATCTTCTCGATAAATCTTCATAATACTACTTATGACAATAACCTTAATAATATATTAAATAATTATGGATCTAACTTAACCCTAATCCAGTTTAATTTAACTCCATTAAAATTTTCATATGAGCATGACAAAAAATTATCAAAACTAGACATGGTTATGTTCTTGTATATTTTTACCAATTAAATAAATATTCCATGAAGAGTACCATTCCATAAGTATTCCATGAAGTCGTAAACTTTCATCAATTTATAAAAATATTATTTTATTCAATTTTGATATTAAATTTTTGTTATAAAAAAAAAATACGATCTACTCAAGGATTTGTAGAGATTACTGATACCATTTAACTTTATGGTTTGGTAATCCCTGCGCAATGCTACATGCGCAATAGCCCCTAATAAATTGCTAAATCTCGACTCTTGGTTAATTCTTATCACACATCTCATTTACCTGCGTCCGGAATAATTTAAACGCTTTCGGAGAAATTCAGATTTTTTAAATCATAACAAGAGAATCAATGCATATTAATAATCGCAAATGAGAACTAAAATCAACATATCTACCTGTTGTTTAACCACGTGTAAATATTTAATGCAATGGTGAAGACGATACTGACACGATATTGACTTTCAAAATCGTACACTTGCTAACGATAATATTTAAACGCCGATATATTAGAAATTTAAATTACAAACTGTGGTAATGACTTAGCAAATGAAACGAACGTTAAATAATGGAGTTTTCATTAACTAATGGTGAATTTACTGAAATGCTACTAATTGTGAATTTCAGAATTTGTAAATTGAGGAAGTTGAATGTTTAGAGGTCAAAAATATGGAAATAGATGAATTTAAAAATTAAAAATTTGGGAATTTGAAAATTTTTAATTTTGGCATTTGAAAATTTAAAAATTGGAAATTTTAAATCTATAGATTTGAAAATTTTTTATTTTTGAATTTAGAAATATCAGAATATAGGAACTAGAAATTTGAAAATGTAAGAATATGAAAATTAAAAAATTTATAAACCTAATAAGTGTTGACCCAATAAGTTTCTAATTGGGAGAAAATCTTTTTTATAGGTATTTAAAAAAGTTTCTAATTTGAGTGTTTTCGAAAGCGAAACCTCGTAAGAAAGAATGTTATTCGATATATTCTACTTAATTTAGCATGCAAATTTATCACATTCGTCGCTCATGTTACGTTTTGCGGGATGTTTATGTATATCTAAAAAAAAGAAAATGATAGATGTTTATTTTTGAGACAAAACGGTATCGATAGCGAGTAGGTTAATTGCTGTGCAGTTCCCACATTTCAAGATGCCATTCCTCTCGCGTAAAACGGGACCTCGAAGCGACTGTACGAACTTCGCGATTAAACGTACGCACGCTGCTAACGTTTAGCACGTTCACGGTAGAGTTCAAATATTCAGTGCCAGACGCGCTTAACGCTAATCATAAATCAACAAGAATCGGAACGTGTACAAACTCGAAAAGTAGATTATCTATTATTTTTTAAAAATAGTATAAGGACGAAACGGTTAGCGAATAATATTTCGTCTTGATTAACATTTCAATAACTTTTTGTACATTAATAAATCAAATTATTAAAATTCAATTATCAATACTATACACAATTAATCTGTGGTTAATTGTGGAAGTGCCCAGTTTATACTGAGGCGATTATATTTCTGCTGCTGTTATTGTAATTTGTTATGTCAATAATATCACAAAAGCTGATATAATATTTGAGCGATAATATTTGAAATAAATCTGAGCGATAAAATCGTGTATTAGATGATGTTTAGATTAGATTAGATTTAAAAAATTCTAGATGTGATTTTAACATGACCTGATTCATATTTTTATCATTCTAATCTACCTATTTTTATTTGAACTTCGAATCTAATATACGCTACTGTTCGATCAAAAGTAATCACACTTGAACGATAAAATCATATATCAGGATTGATTAGGTCAAATCGATCTGAAAGATAAAATTACATGTCACATTTTATATTCTACCTCAGGCACCTCCATTAGCCTTTAACGATATTATCAATAAGATATTGATAATTTACCGATAATCGATAGCAGCAACCCTGTATTCCATGCAAGATTCTAAATCTGTCCGTATATAAGGTTAAATATTGATTATATTATATCCGCCATTACTATTTAATACTAGTATTTGTCAGTACTTGATATTAACATTTCATGCTAATACTTAATATTAATATCCGTCATTAATACATAATATTAATATTTGAACTTGCCTTCCTTTCGCCAATATAAAATGTGAATTTTCCAGTTACAATCACAATGGGTAAAATTCAAAAAAGAGCGGGAACAAAGCAACAAGCGTTTACTTTTCGCTTACCTTCCCCAGTAGTTGTCCTTTGTAGTAAGCGTTCCCTTGAACTGGATCAACGACGTAATCTAATTCTTCTTCCGTAGAATTGTTCCAGGAAGTCGTGGACGGTCCAGCCGTGATCACACTGGTCGTTCTTATCAACGAGGATGCCGTATTACCGAATCGACTTCCACTGGCCGAGGAGGTCACGTTACTCGTGTTGCTGGTCGTGGTGAGCGTCGCGACGTTGTTCGTCGACGAGGAGACATCCTGGACATTGTCTCCTCTGGACAGTTGGGCGGAGGATGAGTAAATGAGTGTAGACGTACGCGTGGCTGTACAAGTTTCTTCGTCTTTTCTGTAAGGTGCACCATTCTTGGCCGCGTCGAGATGGCAGCCAGGATGCGACGAGTACGAAGACACCTCAACGTCCAACGGCAACGACGCGCCGTGTTTTCGACTCCTTCTACGAATTAAACTTTGCAGAGATGCGGAACTCTTGGAAAAACTCTGGTGCGGTCGATCGTTGACAGGCCTGCCGTTACCAACAGCTGATTCGACCATCTTTTTCATACACTCGGCTTCGGGGATGCCTCTGTTCGTTTCGTTGTTTTCCTCGTGACAACGAGCAACCACGCCAGTGTCCATCAGACGGCAAGCCGCTGTTTCGGTATGCAAGTCACCGGGCATCGTCTCCAAGAGGAAGCTGTTATTGGTCGTTTCGTATTCTCTCGGAGGCGACGAACTCCCGACTTCCACCTCGAGCGTGTTCGAAGGTAGCATCTCCAACGGCGATCTCACGACCAAATTCTTTGCACTTTATTTCTAAAAATCGATTATTCAGCGTAATACGGTTTTTCCGTTATGGTTTCTCGAGATGTCATGTTACGGATTTGACATTCAACAGACGTCTATTCCTTTGACATCCATGACACATGTGCACAGTGAGGTCGTTCGATAACGGCGTCGCGGCATTAAAGACGAATTAGACAGAGAACGAATAAAATTGGTGGTAGTAGAACGAGTATTGGTAGTAGAGAAAAAATTGTTGTGATGCAATGATGCTGTTAAGACATAATGCACGCGCTTTCGTATCGTCGACGAAACAGCGACACTATCACCCCGACCATTTCACCAGTCGAACCGTCACTGTTCCGCGCGCACCAACTCGTCGACCGACACCCTCGGTCTCTAGTTCCCCCACCACTACCGCCACCTGAACCCTCAGTGCCGTCAATAAAATCTAGTCGCCTTGACATTTTTCTTACACCCAATGCTAATGTTTCGGAATTTTTTATACACGCGCATGCGCATATCGTATTGCATTATTGAGTTTGATTTTGAAATTGTTGGCATGTTTGTAAACAATGTTATGACATTGTTATGACATTGTTACGAACGTACGATGGCTATAATCCCGGTTCAAACAGGGGTGAATGTACTTAACGTTAACAGATATTCTCAACATTGATTTATAGACTGTACGTTTTTATTGTCATTATTTTGGTAATGTTAATTAATATTGATCTCGACTTTCTGAATTCACAAATTTCCTAGAAATTCTAAATTTGCAAATTCTAGGTTTCTGAATTTTTAAAGTTTTAAATTTTCAAACTTTTACCTTTAAAATTATCTCTAAGTTCTGGATCTCCCAAGTTTTCAAGTTTCTAAATTTCCAAACTCCCAAATTCCCAATCTTCTAAATTTCCAATCTCTTAAATTCTCAATCTTCTAAATTTCCAATCTCTTAAAATCCCAATCTCTTAAATTCTCAGTCTTAACTCCTGAATTGGATGCTTAAATAAATTAAGAACGTTCGTACCTCTAATAGCAACGTTATATATTATTAATGCAATATTATCAATAAATATGAGAACCCAGAAATATTGATAGTGTACAGGGTGTTTTATAAGACTGGACTATACCTTGAAAATCGTTAGAAAAAGAATAAGTTATAATCAAGAATTTAATGATATCAGGAAGTCTATCTTCCTGCGTCTTTATTATTTTTATGAATGCAAGAATGCACATAAAAAGTGCAAAAACTCTTTAAATAGAACTGCATATTGTTTCCGATGTGGATCGATTCTTCGAAAAATTCTGTGTTAAAAAGTATTAAAGTACTGTATCAAAAAAATGATAATTTGTAAAATATTACGTTTTTAAAACTGAAATTTTTCAGAAACTATTACATTTTTTTATATTACACTATTGTTGAAGATATTACACTTCAATAGTTTTTTATGGAAAGTGTTTCAAAGAATTAATCTACGTAAGATACAGTCAGTAGTTTTCGTAAGTCACTTTTTTCACTTCTTGTAAGTACATCGTTGCATTTACAAAAAAATTAAGGTTATTAGAAAATAGGTTTTTTTCATCACATTCAATACTTCTTTTACGAAATTTTTCTATCTCTAACACCATTGTGGTTGGGACACCCTGTATGTTTATTGCTTGAAGTCAACACTGAAGGACAGAAATAGTCCTACAGTGCTGCTCTCTCACTCGGATACCACTAAGGGTGAAAAGAAAATAACCGGATGGGGGTTGAAGAGAAAGAAAATTCCTTCTAGGGTTGCCAACTGTACTATAACAGGTAGATTAGTAACTATATTTTAGTCTAATGTACTACAGCTTATCCTGCTTTGCATTGTAACTATGTTATATTATACTTTAATAAGCTCTATAAATGTACTACATATTATTAGAAAAGTATATAGCATATTTAAATACTAAATATATTTCTGATACATCAACAATCTTTATTTATGACTTGTTTGATCGAAATTTCTACAAAATAATTTCATGTTACCTCTTTATTTCTAACACTTCAACTATTACACAAAGTATTTTTTCTGTAATAAATATGAAATGACGAGGAAAAAGAAATAGAAACTTCTGATATTTTTGATGAAGACAATAAATTGATTAATGATACAAAATACATCAAAAGTATGCAATAAAAAATCTTAAATTACCTGCAATTAAAATTATTTTGCACCACTTTTCTCTGATAAGCATTATATTTAATTATAGTACACTATATTTTTTATCATATTTGGAAGTAAAATGCTATTGATATTTTCCTGAAAAGAAGTTGGCAACCCTAATTCCCTCTTCTGCTAATTCTTGTAATAAAAAGAGACGCAACAACCACAACTATTATTCTCTCCTTTTTGTGGTAACTTCAACTTCTCTCGTGATATGTGCAATCTACAGTTTGTGGAAGTTTATGGTACAACATAGTAACATAGTAGAATAGCATACTATAGTTTAGAACAGTGGTTCTCAATTAACAATACTTAATAGCATTTAGGGGAGACAATTAAATGGTAAGTGCTTTGTGCAATATACAGTATAACAATTTGAAAAATGAATATTCAAAAAATAGCTTGAATTAAGATTAAATTAACGTATAAAATTAAATAAAATATTTTGTAAATATCCAGAAAAAATATATTCTTTCTTGAACTGTAAACATGTACTAAAGTGTTAATTTCAGCTTTTTTAGTGTGTATTTAAGTAAATATTGAAGACCATTGGAATAGTATTATATTTAGTATAGTAGTACTTTATACTAAAAAGTGTAAAATGATCCTCAGTAAATAAAATCAAAATATTATTAATGAGAACAGTATAAGTTTAATTGAACTTTTTAATAAAAATATATAATTGTATATAACACCTGAGCCAAGAAGACAAAATGAATTTTTATATGATTTATTCGTTCGATCGTGTATCTTGATAAATACAAAACGACACAAAGCCTTTTGTACGCTGGTAAATCGTGAGAAAGCACATTGTTCCTAATGTCGTGTAAAAAGGAAATACGAGAGTCAGTTCTCTGTTCTTTTACTCGTGGAAAGGAAGTTGTTTTAATTAGAAATACATAGGGATTCTCATGAATACCTGAATTATAAGATACTTTTCAATTTCTTCAAATATTTCCCGACGCTTTCTCAACATATACATAATAAATATTAAACAATGCCTTATTAACATTTTGACTGTTCTCCATCGAAAGTTTCATCAAATAATTTGTCTATTATTTGTGCAATACTTTGTATCTGTAATGTCAGGTATTTAATGCAACTAGTTTTAGTTGGTTAAGTACGGAAATTAATTATAGAGGTAATGAATAATGAACGAACGTATAAAGGAAGTGCAAGTTGTCAATAAATATTGATCGTCCGAGGGCCCCTTGAAAGGTTAGATTGTTCATAACAGTGGTACGGCCCTGATTCTACTATTTGCTTCGTTGTCTCGTGTTCGATCTGCTTGCTTCTTTCCACTTATTCGTTTCTGTCGTAGCATCTCTTTCTTTCTTCTCTCTCATACCAGAACTTCACCGCCGTCAAACGAAGAACACGCACCGTCCCATCATGCGTATTCGGTCATTCACACACGGTATACCTGTTCCAACATTTGAGATGCGCTAAGTGCATATCTAAATATAGGAACGGTAAAGCAAGGAAAGACTTGCTTATAGAATCTAAAGTAACAATTGTCATGTGTTTCACGCACTGCACAGGCATTTAATGCTTGGTCGAAATTTCAGAGGTCTCTGGAAAAAGTGGGGTTAAGAAATTAAAAGCTTTTTACGAATCTTGAACTTTCGGATACATGATCTAATACCTGTTATTGAAATAACTAAGACTAATACATTATTCATAGTTTAATTATAACTAATAACAAATACAAGTTATTTTTACGAATTTTGAACTTTTGTATATGGTATAAATACTACCCGATATTAAATTCTAATTTACTATCAGTTTACTGAATGTTAAAAACAGTACTTAATTGGATAAATGTTATGTTTAAAATTTTAATTTTCTCTAAAATATAATAGGGGGAGTACACATACAAATACAAATACAAATGTAATATGTATTGTTGACAACACATATTAATCACGAGAACTTGAAATATTAGCAGTATATCAATCGCTAAAATTATATTCTAGTATTACAGTATTTGTTTTATTATAATTATAATATAGTATGTTTCTCTTACACATTAAAATAAACATTGGCGTACAATTGTATGAATCTACAAATTCAGCGGGTCAAATTGAAATCTCGACTTAGGTTCATTCTAATAATCTTAAAACAGATTTCTAAACATAATATTATTACTTAATGGAAGCGTATTTTGCTAACATTAAATTTCATCAACAGTTTACCTTTCCCATAAATTATTTGCGTATGTATAAAAATCCTTGCGAATTGAAAAAACTAACTTTTGTTTAATTTATGTAATTTTAACACATAAACTTTGAAATAAAGTAGGAAGTTACGATTAAATTCTGTTGTGGTCATTTTATAAAGTCGAATTTACCACGCCATAATTCCAAAAAGGTTGAGAAACACTGCTCTAGGCTTTCCTTAGATTTTCTAGGCACCCTAGGCCCTCTATACATTCTCGCAATGTTCTTCAAATGCTCTGTGAATACTCTATGAATGCTCTACGAATGTTCTACGAATACTTTATGAATGCTTTACGAATGCTTTACGAATGTTTTCTCAATTATATGTGTAGTTCTTTAATACAATTGAAAATAAAACGTTAATTTAAATTTGTGATATCAATATTTTACTGAAAATAAATAATTTTAATTTTTAACAATTATCTCTGAATAAACATAAAAAATATAATAGTAAGGTTATACACCACACGTTGTGACGTGTAATAAAATACTGACGTTGTTAAAAAAATAGATTTTCTAATGAACTGACAGACAGTACGAGTGTTAGCTCATTATCGAAGTAAATCAAGTTTAAATTAGTTTTACTACGCATTTACATCGAAATAATTAATTGTATTTTATTGCAATTAATATTTCGATCCAAATCTAAAAACAGTTTTCGATTTTCTTCAAATGACATTTGTGTTCTATATTTGAATATTTAATAGGTCCAACCCACACTTCAAGAGTCATTATGTTGATAAATATCGTAGCGCAATCTATCATTGTGATCTGTACTAATGTTAAGGGAAAAATCCAAGTGACAGAAATACTGTTGATTCATGTTCGACGCATAATTTCGGAAACACCGTATTAATCACCACATGATCGTGCTTGTGTCATAAAAAGTAAAAAAACAGAGTCTTCTGAAACTGGTTTGTGCCAAGAAGTATCAAAATTTGAATACAAATATATTACTTTATTTATAATGATTTGTTTTTGTGTGATGTAACCTACTTATATATTCGACGAGAAAGAACGTTGACATGCATCATTATTGGTTCGAAGTTCGCGTGCCTTTCTTATCTATGATTCACATTCCTTTCAGCGGTACTTCCTTGTTTCTTTGTCAGTATCAGCGTAATGTTTGAATTGTGTAAACGTAGTAATATCTACTACGTGTCATTACCACGGTTAATGATCGCATCGAGTTACCTTGTAAAATTTAGGTAACTCCTTTTCATTATCAGTGCGAAAATGCTTGAAAGGAGAAGCAACAGTAACGCAACTACAGTTCTTGTTGGACATCAAATAGAAAAAGATGAATTCGTTTTTGAAAACAGTCAATTCTATGACGAACAAAAGAAATATATTAGTCAAAGATTCGTTGCAAAAGCAGTTAAACACCAGTGTGATGGAAATGCAAGCTGCACCAGGAGTGGAAGAAAATGGTGTAGTTACCAATTGCGACGAGAGTATGACCCTATGCTCTGTGTTGGAGGCTGTTTTCCTACATGGTTTAAAAGATAGCCTTTTGAATCGAGTAACAGAAGTTTTAAGTGGTCCAGATTTTGATGCTGTACCACAACCAAGTTTTTGGGGCCCACTGTTAGTATTTTCTCATCGACAGATCATAGACCAGATTCAATCATTGAGTCAACTTACCACCGAAGTTGGATATTGCAGAGCTTGGATACGGTTGGCATTAAATGAAGGTCTTTTAGCTAGCTACCTTTGTTCTATAAGAAAGGATAATGGAGCTTTGAAGCCATATTATAATCGCTCTGCATTTATTAGAGATACAGATCTCGTAGAAGTTGCGCAGCGATTAATTGAAAATTTGGATTATATTCACTTTGAACTTGCATGTAACAGTGGCCTTTTAAACTTCTGGTCAAATACTCCTCTTTTGTTAGCGGGTATATGGTCACCACCAATGAAATCTTGTCCAGTATTTAGTGCAGTAGATATTGCAAAAACAATAACAACTGAAATAACAGATGGTGAAAATGTAGATGAGGTTGAAGTAGCTAGTTCGATAGGTAGTTTAGGTTCCTTTAATTCGTCGCAGTCTGCCCTTAATAATTTGGGTAATATAACAGAAGATGAAGCTTTCAAAATCATATTAGCTAACAAAAAATCAAACAATGTTGGTATAGAAAATTTGGCTAATAGTTCAAGAAATACTCCACCTTTGAAGGAGGAAGAAGAACAACATACACAAAAAGAAATAGAAAAAGAAGAAGAAGAGGAAGAAGAGGTAAAAGAAGAAAAAGAAGAAGAAGAGGAAATAAGCAATAAAATTTCAAGCAACAGTAGTCCAAAGAATAATATAGAAATTAATACAATTACTAACAACGAAGATTCACCAATTGAAAATATTACGCAAAATCATAATAGCTTACATGATGTTGCTGCAACTACAGTAGGAAATTCATTAATTGGAAGATTAGGATGGTCTACGTCGTATGAAGATTGTGAATCTTCTTTAACTTCGTCTATAATATCTCATGAATCTAAAACAGATGCACCCCTGACACCAGTCGAAGGACCTACTTATGATGCAATTATCCAAAGTTATCATACAGCAGGAAATACATCTGTACCAAATCTTGAAGAATTTTTGAAGAAATATCCTAAAAGCCAGCCAACTGAAGATGAAACTAAAGTTCAATCAGAAAACAAGGTAAAATTAAAGGGAAATATTAACTTATGTTAGATAGTTGTTTTTAACTCTGACAAATATAATAAAATTTATTTGTATAATGTATTATATAGATAATGATAAATTTTGTACTTAATTGTAGGTTACAATAAATTTTGATGACCAATTGGGAAAACTTCCTAGAGAAAAAGGTTTGGATGTACAAAATTATAGCTGCTTTGAATGTGGTCAAGCTGTTGGCATGACTTTTTCAAAAGCACATGTTTGTTCGTATTCTGGTAGTTATTATTGTTCAAAATGTATGTCACAAAATGAATTTATTATTCCATCACGAGTAATCCATAATTGGGATTTAAAATCTTATCCTGTGAGCAAAAAAGCTGCTACATATTTACACAATTGTCCAATACTGCTAGACCTTAAACTCTTAAATCCACGAATTTATATGGCTGTAGATACTATGGCTCAACTGCAATCATTAAGGATTCAATTAAATTTATTAAGAGCATATTTGTTCACTTGTCGTGAACCTATAATTGAATCACTGCAAAAGAAGGTTACACCAAGAGACTACTTGTATGAACATGTTCATCAGTATTCTGTTTCTGACCTTCTTGACATACCTAATGGAACTCTTGCACAGCAATTGCAAAAAGTAGTAGAATTTGCAAGAAATCATGTTGTAAATTGTTGGCTTTGTAGTCAAAAGGGTTTTATATGTGAAATTTGCAATAATCCAAAAGTTATTTACCCTTTTGATATGGCATCTACATACAGAGTAAGTTTATAATACTTTCCTATACATATAATGTAAAAATTACTTCAATAATTTATTGAATGCTAAATAATTTTAGTGCGGAGCATGTAATGCTGTGTTTCATGCAGAATGTTTAAATGCTAATAAACCCTGCCCAAAATGTGAACGTAGACGCAAGAGAATGGACCTTCCACTCCTAGATGTGGGACGTACAGAATTATCAGTGGATATTGCACCAACAGTTTCAAATGATACAAAAGAATAAATACAATATTTAATAAAATACTTTTGCTTTAAATTATTTAAATATTTCCTTTTTGTAACACATGTATATTTTTATTCAAATTTATTTTTCTAACATTTATGAATACATTATATCTATGTCATATAAATATTATCTAATGATATGAATATGTAAATACTTGTTATTTCTAGTTTATATGGTTATCTGGTTAATTCGTATGTACTTAATAACTAACAAATTAAATTTTGTATTTGATACTAATTTTTATAGGGATAAGATTTAAAATGTGTATAAGAAATATGTATGTTTATGTAATATACATTTTATTAAAATTTTATGTACAAAAAGTAGTAAAATATATTTATCAAATTATTTTATATGTATTCTATTTAATACTGCTGTTATATTCATGTAATGTAACTCACTATACTTTATAGTCCATTGACACGCAGTTTACATGTATATGTATATCCTAACATTTAAAATGTAAATAATCAGATTTGTATATACTGGTCCACAGTTTCAAAATGTTAATGCTATTGTTATTGAAGTTTGAGCAGCATAATGAATAAAATACATCTGTATTATAATTGTTACTAATATACTCAATATATATAAAATTCTATATCCAATGAAACTTTATCATTGTATTATTGAAAAAAATATGAAACATCAAGTACCTCATAGACTAGAAATAATCCATATTTCTATAAGAAGAGTATAATAAAAATGTATATAATTCATTCGTGTAAGTAAAATATAAAACAAAAAATGTAGAGATCTTTGAACAATTAAATTGTTGCATTTCACTAATTTGATATATTTTCGGAAAATCAACATTTTATCGTGTATTATTTTTAATCCAAAATTTGTTTGCATTAGTTTGATTTCATTATTAAATAATATTAAACAAAAATGCCAGAAGTACAGTAGAACTTCGATATTTTTCTGGTAGATAAATTTCTAGTTTGAAACTCTCTTTAATACGCGAATGCGTGCACACCAATCATAGATATCGAAGTTCTATAGTAAAACTATTATATGTTGTATTAGTCAAGTAAAATGCACTTTATACAACATTCGCATACACAAATTACTATCTACTTGTCATATTTATTATAATTTGCTAATGTTCATGTAGTTTTTTGTTACATTTCAGATTTAAAAAATATATTAATTCTATAAAAACAACACAATTTAACGAATTTTGCTAAGTATAAATTTAAAATAAGTGAGATGAACTTTTCTAGTCTAACTTGTATTAATAAGGCACTTTAATTTCCTCAACCCTAACTATTTATTTGTTATAGCCAAAGATTAAAAGTTTCACAAGATTTATAACAAGTATAATATTTATATAGTCTTTAATCTCTATAATTGAAATTTCACCAGGTACTTATTTAAAACATAAAATGTATTTTTATAACTTCACATTTACGAATTACTTTTAATTCGTTCAGCTTGTGAAAAAATATTAAGTATGCTTACATAGCATTTTGTTCTTTTGAGCTATAAAATAGTTAAGTTATAATACATATTACAGAGTTTAAAATAGTAAAAGCATTATAATTGATACAATACTGACAAACTGTCATGTGCTTGTAATTACTAATGCATAATCCTTTTTCTTGATTTTCTGCAATATCCAGTTTTTTTATGAATACTAATATAATCGACACAGGTACAAATTACGTGCAAAAGTACAAATCGATATAATTTTTATGTAACTCTTATGTATTTATAATACTTAAAACTGAAATGTAAAATCTTATGTATATGCATTATTTTTATATAATACATGCACATAAACTTATAAAGATATCTTTAAGTTATAATACCTAGTATTCTCCCTAATATTATTATTCTCTGTATATAGTTTGTACTGTATTTCAACATGAAACTTGAAACATTATTTGCATCTAATGTCTTTCTATAACAATGTTACCACTTTGATATTTGTATATTATATACTGGCAATTTTACTCACTTTGATCAGTGTAAAGTTTTTGGAAAATATGCAGATGGCAAAATTGGTTTGTCAGACAAACCTCCCCTTCTTAATCCGCCCTGCAGTGTAGCACTTGTACTTTTTGTTTTTGTACCATTTGATGGTACAGGTAGGTTATTATTCTCTGCGATAGCAGGCATTGAGGAAGAACCTGCAGCATTTCCAGGTAATTTATTTAGAGAATTAATACGTTCCAAAGGTGTACTAGTACTTGAGATTTGACCACTTTTGTTAAATGTTGATATGCCTATAGTACTATCTGTAATACCAACACCCATAGATCTTGCTGTCATGCGTGTAGTTTGATTAATGTTTGGATTTTGTATAACTGGATTTCTTAATGGCAATCCAGAAAATGTATTTGGTTGCACTGTACTAGGCACTGGTGTACGTGTTTCATATTTAGTGGTAATTAACTTATTTGTTCTAGGTAACGTTAATTGAATTGAAGAAGGTACAGTTACTGCTGCTGTAGTAACACTTTGTAATGGAGACTGATTGTCTGCTAATCGCCGATTTAACCAACTAATTACTGAAAAATATAATATAACATTGTACATAGAAACAAAACTTGCAATTGCTAATGAACTAAATAATTATAACATAAAGTAAACTTAATTTTTTACCATTATCATTATTTTTTATTATCTTTTCTTTCTCTTCCAATTGATTCTGTTGAATTTTAATCTGTTCCTTCAAGTTTTCTACTTCAGCTTTTGCATCTTTTGTTTCCTTCATTAAGCTTTCCATTTTACTTTCTAGTTGACCAACTTCCTTTTGTTTAGTATCCAGTAATCTTTCTTGTTCAAGAGCTATACTAGTTCTTAATTTCAATTTAGATTTAGTTGAAGCAAGCTCATTTTGCAATTTTGTTAGTATTTCATTAGCCTTAACTAGTTCATCGCTTAAGTTTCGCAAGGAATTTTGTTTACGTTGCAATTGGCCATCTTTTTCAGCTAACAAATCTTCAAGATGTTGTTTTTGTTCCTTCGCCGTTTTTAACATTTCTGTATGTTTACTAATAAGTATAGCTTTATCTTTTAGTTCTTGCTCAAGTACAGCAACTTTTGTTTTTAAACTGTTTACTGCTTTATCTTTTTCATGATAATCCGTGTCCAGCTTAGAATTTTGTTTCTTCAGTGAATTCAGATCTCTCTGAGCAACATTAAGTTCTTTTTCAAGATTTTGTAATTGTTTAATCTGCTCTATATTTGTTGCTTCAAGAAGAGATAATTTATCTTTATATGTTAAATTTTGTGTGCGTAATTCTGCGAGTTCAGTGTGAAGTTGTTTTACAGTTTCTGTGTGTCTACGTTCTGTTTCAATTTTCTCTTTTTCATTTAGACATTGCCACTCTAATCGAGCTTTTGCAAACCTGCAACATATTAATGATATTTTAAGTATAGAATTTTAAACCCAAATATAGTTTTAGATACCTGTCTTTCTCTAAACTAATTTGTTCAGATGAAGATATTTGTATTTGATTTTTTTCTGTGATATATTTTTGTTCTAATTGTTCTAATTCCCTTGTTTTAGTTTCTACTTTATTTGATAATTCATTCAATCTTGTTTCCAATGTGAGTGCATCTCTATTCTGTTGTTGAATGTTTTCTTTTAATTGTTTGATTTTCATGGCCATATGAGTTTTTAAATCAGAATCACTTGCAGGTGATATACTTAAACTCAAATGACATAAATGCTTAAAATTATTTGTTTCAACTAGTTTAAATATCCATTCTCCATTTTCTTCAGCTAATAATAATAAAAACTTTGGTGGGGTTTTTGATAAGTTTGATGGCAGTATCTGGGATTGTTCTAATAAACATATTAATTGTGTTGCAAAGTTATCAAAATCAACCAATAATCCTTGTTGAGATTTCAAAACTTTAAAATCATCTTCTGTGATGAATAATGAATAAAGGAAACAGGGGTCATCATCATCTGCCAATAGAACACATAAGCTCTGTAACACAAACATATATAATATTATTATATTGTCAAAATAATTTCGAAAAGTGTTTAGAAATTGATTTAAAGTTTTGTATTAGTAGAAATGCTGAAAAATAAATTAAAAGATCATGTTAGTAAAGACCAGAGGTTAATTCTAAGCAGTATAAAAATGTTACCTTACGACATACAGGGCTAAGACCTGCATGTATTTCTACATTAACTCTAAGTTCACGTTGACGTTCTTCTTTATGCTGTGGTTTAATGTAAACTCTTTGCACCTTTGAATATAACACTTCAACATTGCTCAATTGTAGACCAGAATCACCAGTCACTCCGCTTGTTGAATTATTTAAATAATTCATCGTTTGGTTGCACGTTTAGCAGTCATCTGTTAATATTGACTCATTGGCTGATCTAAAATAATAGATATAGCGTTTCAATTTTCGTTTCATTTGTCAATTTTTCATAAATTATAAAAAAGTATACATCAAAACTTTCAAATTCTATAGTTTACATGCCCAGTCAAGGCACGCATGTTTCAAGTGCTGCCATCTTGGCGTTAAACATTTTTCATAAGCAATTTATTGCTTAAAAGAATCATTAATTTATTTGTTTATTTGATTCATTTATAATAATCTAGTGTATATAATATATTTAATTTAATTATGTTTCATATTAAAGATGTTATTTAATTTACATTTGTTATATGTAAAAGTATAAAGTAAACTTATAACACGCCATCTACTACTAAAAATATCAGTGTGGAGTGTAAATGTAACAATAATCAAACAATTCTAGAAAAATATTTTTTAATTCTTGTTCGATATCAATTTAATGTACAATACAGGTATTAATAACTACTACGATATATTAGCAGGTAAAGTACATCTGTTTTATTGCAGTTAAGCACTATACTATAAAATTTGACTATCTTGATATTAAACATTAATATCGTTTATTAATATCCTAAAAACGTTCATGAATAAATATCATCTTTATTTTACTATATCTAATTTTCTAATCTACAGAAATATTATTTAACTAAGTCAATTAAATTTATTTATTTATTTATTTATTTATATAATATAATATAAATAATATTACAAAACTATGTTTGTTTAAGATTTTTATTAACTTTCATGTTTCATTTATATTTTAATTAATTTTTATAATTTAAACAAAAAAGTTGTAATCGATTAATAATTTATCCGATACATTATTCCTGTCATAAATGCAATCACAAAATTTTGTTTAAAATCTCGATATACATATACGTAGTAAAATAATGGCGTCGTTATATATTTGTACGCTTATTAGTACAGTCAGTTGAAATTTCTTTTCAGCCTTTTTATGTATAATTCAAATGATTTAATTATAATGATACAATATTAACATCATCTTTTTCTACATTTATCTAGAAAAGCATCATATGTGGTCTCTTCAATATGTTCCAGGAGAAGTTTACTTTCCCGCGTAGTTAGAGAAGCTCAAATCTGATTGGTCGTTTCTTCTGAAACCGACCAATAAGATTCAAGATCGAGGATGTGACGTATCATTTAAAATACCGTACGTGTTGAGTTGTAACCGCGGTCGCCATGCCATGCGGTCGTTTCGCGATTGACAATTTCGTTCTTGAATATGTCGTCGATAAAGTGTTTCAGAGATTATTGTTTTTATTTTCAAAGGAAAAATGTGTGTGGTGACAGTGTTGAGAAAGTAAGTGTACAATTATTATGAAGCGACAAGTTATGTTCTCGTGAAATTTGGAACCGCGATCCCGCTCGCTGTCGGTTAGAGGTTGGGGGTATGGCAGTTGCAGTTTGAATCTGATAATGCAGTCTACATATAACAACAAGCAGGTAAGCCTGTGTTTTTTGCCCTTCATACATTGTATAACATTGAAATAATTATTCTTGTAACATACTTCAAAAAAATAAAAATTTAATTTTTTTGTAAAAATCTCTACGTAAAGACGACGTCCACCGGTTTTGCCTGCAGCGCTCCTTTCGTTCATTTTTGTTCTTTAATTATCTCTGTTACGTGCTGCACCCTAGTAGCTTCATCCGAACTTCATAAGCAAATTTTAAAATCTTTCATATCAACAATTGTTAAAATATTCTTTTATTTAAAAATTTTTCTGTTTAATTGTATTAACAGTACAAGCACATTTGGCGGCATATTGCCAATTGGCGCCATTTTCAAATTTTCAGGTATAGAAATTTGAGGATTTAGGAATTTGGAAATTTGACAATTTAGAATTTGAGCATTTGAAAATTTGAGAAACAAAGAAATCAAGGAAGCTAGAAATTCGAAAATTTAATAATGTAAGAGTTGGCAATTTATGGCTATTGAACTTGGAAACTTGTAAATTTAAAAATTTTTAATATACAATGTATGACTCGTATTGAATAATCTTTATAATTAATCTAAGGAAATCTATAATTCTACTAAGCTGTTTAAATATATGTAGCAGAATCATATCTAATATGTATAAAATGCTTGCCATTATCTTTAGGAAATTGAGAATCATATTTATATAAACGCCTATGTAATTCAAACTAGTTTGATAAAAGGGATACCTGTTTCATTGTCATATAATATTAACTACTACTTTCTTACGTATGTAGTTGTTCCTTGCACTGTGGGTAAAGAGTTCAGTGTACCTGTAATCTTATACTGCAAGTATGCATATATGTATGCATTTATACAGAATATGCAACATTTTAAATGAAACCTTACTGGAGAATTTGCAATGCTAATTTTTATTGTCCTTTAATCTTTGTTTAACTGGATATTAAAAAATGTATCATTAAATTTTAATAACGTATTAAGTGTGTCACTGTTGAAATGAAAATGTATTACAGAGGACAGCAAGTATTGATTATGCAAACTCGTATCATACATCTCTCCAAAATAAAGGATAAATTAATATTTAAAATTTTGTAAAAAATATTTGGTACTAATCCGATATGATATTGTTAAAAAGGCTTCTTATTAAATGTCTTTCACATTTTCTGCTATTCTTTTTATTGCGTATTCAACTTGATTATAGTTTAGAGTACTGTGTACAGGACTTTGGGTTGCTTAAAACTTGTTTTCACAGAAGTAAACATTTTGAATTTTAATATAGAATTCCAGTATCAAAAAATACACATCAGAACTATATTAGTGCATTTTTAATGAAGGATTTTGATTAATTTCATCCTGTTGCTCATGTTACAAAAATAAGTTTTATATTTTAGAAGTTGAAAAATAAGTATTTTTATGTTCTAGCAAAAATAGTTGAGTTAAAAAGATTAAATAAGTTTTTTTTTATGTTTAATAAAATTTTTAATGATTTATTTTGAAAAAGGCAAAAAGTACATGGTTTCAGTCTCAAATTCATAAAGTCCAGAGTATATTCTACCTCACTTTAGAGAAAATGATATAATGAAAAAAGGCATTATGGAATTAGGTATCTTGATAATCACATCATTTGTACAGAAAGTGGTTTTAGAAATTTACAAATTTTAAGCTAAAAATTGTTTACTTTCTAGATTTTCAAATTTCTTAAATTATTTGCAAATTGCCAAATATAAAAATTTCTACATCACGAAATTTCTGAATTTTCAAATTTTTAAATTTCCGAATTATAGGGAAAAAAAAGTGATAAGTGAGACCTCTTCCTATATTGCCGTTTTCTTTATAGAATCCTTCCGTGCTCGGTTCTGAGTGTTGAAAATATTTTAATAAAACTAATGTTTTTCCCTTTGGAGTAGAATGCTTTTGAAAGTTTCTATATCAATTTTGAATAGTCCGGTAGTATTATAAAAAAGAACTTTCCAAATTTTAATGGAAATGACAATTGAGAAATAGATTGATGGTTGCTATTTCTTCACGGAGTGTTTTTCATCGAGTTTTATTGCGTATTTTTTCTGGTCCTTCCGTGTTTGAAAGTCGGCTCCTGTAACCACCTGCCCTGTTCACAAAAGGGAAAAAGGCAACCAAGCGGACAGGTTTTACCTGGCACGAACTCGCTTTGAAGCTATGAGAAATACACTGCTAGCGTAACTTCAGAAAATTTTCTTTTCGTTCAGCATCGGCTGAAGGTCTTTCAGGGATCTTAAACTATTCATCGAAATCTCTCTTCTCCGTGAAAAGTGTCGACACAGTTAAATCGATTCTCACTTGCCGATTTCTGTAGGTAACTGCGTTGTTAAATGCAGTAAGAGTGATGGTAAATAAAATACCATAATGAACTATGACTATGCACTTGTTACCATGTTTTTTTCTTCTCGATACGTGGTAATTTCTGTTCTTTAAAAATTGCATTTGTGTAGCAACAGGTTTCTCGTAATTTCGAAGTTAAGGCGGGAAAATTTAAACGCGTTAAATAGGACATTAAAAATGTGACAAGTATTTAGAAAATAACTATAATATTATTATTTTATTATTAATTAAAAATATTTTAAGCTTTTTTTAACTTGAAAGATTAATGTCAGAAAATGTATTCTTTTATTAATAATTTCTTTTAATTAGAATTTATAATTGTATACAAAATATTTTATAGGTAGGATATTCTTTTTATTCTTTGAATGTCAAGCTTTCGTTGCTTTTATTCACGATTTGAAAATTAAGGCGGGAAAATTTGAACGCTCTAATAGGTCACAATTGTGACAAGTATTTAGAAAATGACTATTATTACTTTATTATTAACTCCTTTTAATTGCAACTTAAAATTGAACAATGTAAAATATTTTAGAGATAGGATAATATTTTTACCGTTCTATGAAGATCAAACTTGCAGCTTCAGTTTTCTTCAAGTTGAAAGACTAATGCAAAAAAGTTTATTCTTCCATTATTAATTTCTTTTAATTAGAATTTAAAATTGTATAAAAAAATATTTTGTAGATAGAATATTCTTTTTGTTCTTTAAATGTCAAGTTTGCGTTGCTTAAATTCACGATTTGAAAATTAAAGCGGGAAAATTTGAATGCTAGATAAACACTCGTATTAGAGAAAGTATTTGCAAAGTAGTTATAACTAATACTTGCCCATTAATTCCTTGTAATTGCAATTTAAAATAATTCAGACAAAAGAAAAGATGAAACATTTCTTTCAAATAATGTCAACCTTGTAGTATAATTATAAGAAATGGACAGAATTCTTGAGGCGGTATTGGCGAAAAGCCAAATTTCCAAAATTTAGTTTCAGAAGAGCCAAATTGGTAACCCTGACTCGAACGGGTGATTCTCTTAAAGAGATATACTCATATCGGCGTCGTAGCCTTAAGATCCACCAGTGTATGGTACAAAGCAGAGGATTGGTTGTGAAAATGTGTTTGGTTGGTCTACCCTGAATCAAGTCGTGGCAACACTGCATTCGTATACATATATAGCACACGTTTATGTATACGTATATATATCCTTATATATTTATATGTTTTATGCGAGAGGCCACGGCATTGTAAAATTGTCGATTGGCTTCGAGGTCATCACGCTATCGACCTCCATTTCGTATTGGATGTTTTTTCAACACGGATTTGTCGAAACTGGCCACCATGGT